ATCAAAAGAAGACTAATTAAATATATGGGTTGATTGTGTAAATCATCCATACTTGTATAGTGGGCTAATGCTCCATGGATATCTAGTTGGGCAAAACCCATAGGATGTCCATGGATGCTCCATGGTGTATTTGAACCCATGGATCCAAGGAAATGGAAAGTCATGACAATTAGGGTTTACCCTAATTGTAACACTATATAAAGATCTTATTCTTGACAAAATCGGCCACTAGTGAGAGAAAGAAAGGGCTAGCCGATTTCATGAAGTGTAGAATTCTCTCTAAGTTATTCCAAGTGTTATTGGTGTTGTGTGAACCATTTGAGGTGTCACACTTGGGGCACTAGGCACTCAAGCTTCATGAAGACAAGCACACAAAAGGTATGTATTCTACTTTGTTATAGAAGTTTTGTATGCTAGATTAGGAACAATACCTTGGAGTTCATATTTGCATGTATAATAGAAAACATAGATCCAAGGTATTTAGGGTTGCATGTACACTTAGGAGTGTTAGAATGCTCATAACCAACAATAGCCTCAATAGCTGAGGCTCCAAAGAATCACCCACTGACTCCCACTAATCTCAAGCTCGGTCTCGTAAACACCCTGCTGCATACCTCACCTTCGACCCCTCAGGGCAGAAGCTAGTCAACTGCGCAGACTCGATGTCCGCAATCCACCACTTGGAAACAATTGGGTCCTTCACCCCGTGGAAGTCCTACGCACCGCTGCCCCTAAAGTCCTTAGAGGACAGCGTGCGAGATCCGACTGGCCAGATGCCATGTCGCTCCTGAACGCCCTGAGGCGATCCTCCATCATCTCGATGATCCCTTCCTTAATCGACCCGAAGATAATGGGGCTCGACTCAAGGATACCTTTGGTGATCTCTAACGCAATGAACTCGCGTAGCCTCTCATCTACTGGCTCGGAACCTGATCCCGAACCCGATCCCTCTCCTAAACTGCCAACTGCTGGTCTCGGGCATAGTACCACCATTATGAAATACAAAGAAATAACAACTGTTAACGATACTGATACCCCTGGAGGGATCCCACCCACTACAAGTTCCCTAGTCTTATCTTAGCCTTCCTTGGTTCGGGTACGGATCCTCTGCTTTCAGTAGTACGGGCCCATACTACCTTCCACATCTATCCGTACCTTCCCTAAAGACTGCCTCGACTCGACCAGGTCCCTTCCCCTACTGCTGATCACCGCTACACATTATCCTAGGCTTACCCTAGGAAACCTCTAACTCCACCCATCCTAGCCCTCAGCTGCTGAAGGCCTCTTGGTGATGCCAATTAACTATTACCTGAATACAATCACATGCGCTGAGGCTCGGATAATCCTTCGAGTAGAGGACTCATCTCTACAACGATTAAGACTCAAACAAGAGTTATGCAATAGAGTCAAATCCAACACTCTGAGATTATTCAACCCTGATCACATGTGACTTAAACGTATTCACCTAACAGTTAACTCCCATCACTTCAAGGCCCACATAGCACAAAGCAAGCAGCATTTGGACGTAAGAAAACGACCTCAAGCAACTCTATCCTCGAAGAGAGAACTGAACTAGCACACAATGCTAAACTCGTACTATCAGGAATAACCTAAACAGGCTACCCTACTGCTGTCTACTCAGCACTAGCATGCAGCTCTTTCATATATACAGAAGCACATAAAGCAGGCACGTAAGGCATCACTCCAAGATCCCTAGTCCTATTCTAGCATGTTGTTCTATGGAAACTGATAAACATAAATAACTTGTATGGTTACATTGGGGAATACTTACTTGAGCTTGGCCGATTGCGCACATCACATACATTATACTTTCTTAAAACCCTTTTTGAAAACATTTTCTCTTTCCAAAATCTTTTAATCCCTCGATTTGAGTTCGAGCACCCCCGAAGGTGTGTCCGAATCCCACAAACCAGGGCTCTGATACCAACTTGTAACGACCCAATTTTTCACGTCCACGTCCAAAAATTTCGTTTTTAAAACATTACTTTAGAAAATGTTAATAGAAAAACATTGTTTGACCAAACTACATCACAACATAACCATGTTCAAAAGTCAAGTCATACAACCAATCGAAACATCAGAGTACAAATCCCAAGGAAATCTAATAAATGCGGAACCCAATGTGTGTGCATGATGTGCCGCTACCGAGCCAGCTCCTTCCCCTTCGATGAAGAGGTACCTGAAACCAAAACTGTAAACTGTAAGCACAAAGCTTAGTGAGTTCCCCCATTGTACCACAAACCATACAATCACATAACATACATAAATTGTCAGGCATATCTGGGTGCCCGACCTACCCCTTCGGTCCTCTCGACCGGATACTGCCTAACATATCTGGGTGCTGGCCTCCCCTTCGGTCCTCTCGACCGGATACCGCCTAGCATATCTGGGTGCTGGCCCCCCTTCGGTCCTCTCGACCGGGTACCGGGGACTATTTCACCCCCTACTACTACCACATAGCACATAAGTCACATATCATACAACCACATAAACATAACACAGGTAGTAGCAACCCTAGATGAATATCACAGAGACAATCATCTAATCATACATCTCCTACTGGTGGGCCGACATTGTGGCCTTAGACCCACCGCTACTGGAAGGTAACTCACCTCGGAGTAGCTGCTGATCTTCGTGGGAATAGTCTGACTGCTGCTGCTGCTGTTCGGAAATCCTCCGGCTGTATTCCCACCAATCACTTAGTCAAAAACTGCTAACTGACCTTTGGGTAAAATGACCATTTTACCCTAATCATGCCCTAAGTCAAAGTCAGAGTCAACTTCCAGTTGACCCGACTCGCCGAGTTGGCTCGCCAACTCGCCGAGTCATGTCCAAACGACTGACCTGAATTCTGTTTTTACTCTTCGAGTTAGGCGTCTACTCGACGAGTTCTCCTTCCAAACTGATGTTCAAGTCCTTCATCCCACTCACCGAGTTGTATGAACAACTCGCCGAGTTCATCTTCATCCGATGAACAAGTTATACTGTGACTCGCCGAGTTGTATGAACAACTCGCCGAGTCTGATCTTGATCTAAGGAGATTGCCTTGAAGTCGCCGAGTCTGGGCATCGACTCGTCAAGTTCCACTATGGGTGAGTTTTGGCTTCCAACTCACCGAGTCCCTCCTGGACTCACCACACGACTCGACATAACAAAAAGGGGACAAACCCGGAGACTCGCGACTGGACTCGCCAAGTCAGATGAGCGACTCGCCGAGTCTGCTCCATGCAAGAGCTAAAAATGCGATTTTGCTCGAATCCAATCCATGTCATTCGTAGATCTGGGCTCCTAGAGCATGAATAACACGTAAAGTTTCCAACTTTACGTGTAGATATCCATCTATGGGGTTTTTAGGGTTTAAAATGCATCAAAAGAGTAGATCTAAGGTTTATATGCAATATGGGCTCATAAAGGTAGTGGATCTGAGCTCCTAGAGCTCAACTATGCTTGGATCTAGAGACCAATCAACTTATTTCGAATTATCATGCACATACAAACTTGGAAATGAGCCAAGAATGTCTTAAATGAAGCCTTAAGCATAGAAACATGGGGAAAATGGGATATACCTCAAAGGAACTGCTGAGAGAACACAATGGTGCTTGGATGGCTTCCCTTCTTCTGGATCTACTTCCCTTTTTCTTCTAAACCTTCAAGAACACACAACAATTGCTTCAACTCTTCAAAGAACAAGCTTAAACGAGGGTTGGGAGCTCTAGGGGGTGAATGGGGGCTGGCCTGGGGCGGAAAGGGGGATTAAATAGGGTGTAAACCCCAGAAACTTAGGGTTTTATCCAATAGTGGTGACTCGCCGAGTCGCCAACTTAAACGCGTCCCGGGGGTCCCGTCCCTACTCGGCGAGTCGGACCTATGACTCGCCGAGTCCAAGGCTTAAAAAAAGGAAAATACTCAATTAAGATTTACATACCATAAACCAGGTGCTACACACACACACACACACACACACACATATATATATATATATATATATATATATATATATATATATATATATATTATATATATATATATATATATATATATATATATATTAGAAATGTTAATATGTATTTTAGAAGTATTTACGTTTATATAAGTATATATATATATATATACATTTTTAAAAGTGTAAATATGTATTTTGATATATGTTTTTTTTAAATGTATAAATATATTTTTAGAAGTATAGATACATATTAATATTTCTAAAAATGCAAAAATATGTATTTATACTTCTAAAAACTATATCTATAAAATATGTATTTATAATTCTAAATATATTATTTTACTTTTTAAATTTTATAACCTAACAAACACACAATATATATATATCAAATACGAAAGAAAATTTTGGTAGGAAGGTAATAAGTTTTTTTTTTTTTTTTTTTTTTTTTTTTTTTTTTTTTTTTACATTTTTTTAGCGAACAAACAAAATGAATCATCAGATAATTCCTAAGCAATTAAAAAAAAGAACATCTACATGATTCATTTTTAAGTAAATAAATAAAAAATTCACTTTTATGACAATTTTAATGAATAACAACAAAATTACTGTATAAATGAATTATCGAGATGCTTTTTTTTAAATTTTTTTTTTTTTTTTTTTTTTGTGAATCATGTTATTTTTGATTTATCTACTAATTTATTTGTTTTGTTCGTTAAAAAAATATATAGAAAAAAATTTCATTCCTTCCTACCAAAATTTTTTATTTACTCGATATATATATATATATATATATATATATTATATATATATATATATATATATATATATATATATATATATATATATATATATATATAAAAGGATGTCAACATAATTTATGTTCATTATTAATTATTTATGTTATTTCTTTTTATGCATGCGATGACTTAACAGTTGAGGTATGAAATTCTATAAATAATATACAAGATTCAACTGTCAAAGTATTATTAGTGTTTGGAATTTACAAACTGCATGTTCAACTTCGGACATCAAGAACATGGAAGTCGAGATGATGTGATTTACTTTTTATTATTTATTAAAGCTATTATATGGATACGATAATAATGCCACTAATATTCTGAATATCATCATAACTAATATATATTTAACATTTGTTTTTGATAAATTACAATAAAATTACTATGTTTCGATAAATAAAACAAAAACTATGTTCGTTAATAAAAACGTTTTCTAACATGACAAGAAACCTAGTTTTTATTTTATTTATTTATTTTTACTATATGTGAAGGCAAGATTTGAATCTTTGTTACGAACTTATGACAATTTTCACGATGTGGATAATGTCCTGCTCAAAAGTCCAATATTCCAAGATATTCACTTTCTAATACTCATGTTCATTTAATTTTAGAATTTATATTTATTTGATTCAAATATATATAAGATTATAAACTTAGAATGTTGGTTAATTTAACTACTTTGGAAAAAAAAAAACCCGGTCCATTTAAACCAGATATTACCTACCCTATGACTCGGAACTAGGTCATCTATGGTAGATTCACATCATAAAGTCATTATAAAAGCATCGCTTCTATAACCTTCTTGCATTAGCCGCCATACAAATTACAATCATTCCCCTCTCCTTACAAGACTTTCCCAAAATCTAGCTCAAAATTTCTGCAAATTAATTCAACAGAATCCGATTAACACCACCTTTCGTCTCTGTTCCTCTATGGCGGACGAAAATTGCAGGTAATCTGTTTCTCCTCAGATTTTCATATGCTCTCATGGTTCGACTACTTAGATCTGTGTAATAACACTAGGTGAAGCACAAATTTATGCCATGGTAGTCGGAAGTTTGATTTGTTTAAGCAGATCTCCTTCTATGGGAAGAAGCTTAGCCGAACAACATCTTGCTACAATGAAAATTTGGGGCAGTCAAATGGTCTCTCTAAGTTGGAATGGGTGGTCTCGGAAATACAATTTTAGGTTGGTTTGCTGTAAAATAAGCATTTTATATGTAATGGTCGGGAGGATTTGATACATGGTAAAATGTAGAAGCAATTGAAGAATGTTTTAACCCTTGTAAGGTAGGTGAGGTAGGCAAAACCAACATCAAATGATGATCTTTTAATCTTTAAAAGATTAAAATTCGATTTGGAAATAATTCAACTAATAACGGTTGATACAAAAATTACAAAATATTCAAAACTTTTGTTTCGAGTCAAGATTATGTATGAAAATTTGAATTATTTATCAAAAAAATGAATATTTAGGTTATTTTGAAATGAAAGAGTGGTACATGTATACACTACAAAAAAAGTCCTTATTAGTGACTAATTTTTAGTGACTACCTAAAATTTGGTTACTAAAAACATATTTTAGTCACTAGAAATTAAGTGGTCACTGAATTTTGGTAATCCTACAAATTTAATGACCAATTCTATGTGCTGGTTACTAACTTGGCCACTAAACTGCGAAAAAATTAAATTACTTTTATTTCATATCATAACAACTATTTAGTGACCAAAAATAATGGTCACTATGTTAAAAAAGAAATGATCATTGTATTAGAGGTTTAGTAACCAAAAATAATGGTCACTAACTACTATTCAAAACCACCTCCCTATACTCTTGATATGAAAAACTAACTAAACGGGGAAAAGCAATTAATGACCACTCAATAGTAGTTATTGATAAATTAGAAGTAAAAAATAACTAGTGACCATAAAACGGATGTCACTGACTCTATATATATATATATATATATATATATATATATATATATATATATATATATATATATATTATAATTTTCAATTAATAAATATTAAATATTTTTTTATTAATGTTTTTTTATATTAAAAAATGACTACAACATTCGTATACATCATCAGGATAGAAAAAATACAGCCTGTTACTTACTTTACTTACTTCTCTTACTCTCTCAAACTTACACTCATAATTTATAATAATAATAAAGTAGAAAACCAAAAAACTTTAAATATTTTTTTCTTTGTATCTAAATTACCTCAATTGCAGAGTCATAACAAACACACTAATCAAGAGTTATGGCAGATTTATAAATAACACCATCATCGTCATCATCTACGGGAAAAGAAAAGAAATTTTGGGTGATTGACATGAAGACTTGCTAGCCACGTGTCAGTTTTCTGTAAAAGAGAAGTCATTAATAGTTGTTCATTGTTGATCCACAATGGTGCTTTTAACTTATCTGAAGCTAAACCAAACACTGGTAGGGACATTTTTGGAAAACCATCTATTTCCCCACACTCGTTTCCTGAAATAATATAATAATGTGTTTTATAAAGTTAAATCATAAATGTATGAGAATGTTGTAGTAATATAGAAAAGAAAAAGAAAATACAAACCTCTTTCGGAAATTCCAACGACGTAGTGCCTAACAAAAACCCTAAACTCAATTTCAGTATCCACAACCATCGGCAAGTGAAGCTCACCGATTGTTTCTCCTCTATCTTCTTCTAATTCCTCTCCTCTCTGCTCGATATATGCACTGCTTACTTCCTCCTCCAATTTCTCTCTTCCATATCGGCACTAGTGGAGGTCGTGGCTCGTTTGCGGGCGCACCACCACCGGCAGCATCTTACTCTGTCTTCTCCGTTAAATAGATTGGAGGTCGTCGCCCTATCAAGAAATCCAAAGGTTTATTGTTTTTTTTTTATCTCATTCACGCCCTAATCCGCATTTTGTACCTTGATTTTAAGCTATCAACTTTTTGTGATTTTTTTTAGCAAACCTAAATCGGGGAAGATGCGACATCGACAGAGGTCGTTTGACAGTTTTTGAGGTTGTATTCGGCTTTCAATCCTTCAATAGTTGTTCAATACGATAGTATTATGTTCTTTACTTCTTTGTGTACATCTATGAAAATTATCTTTGACCTCAAAGCTAATATTATGCAACATTTTTTTTCTTTCTAAAATGCAACTCCTGATCTTGGTTCTGATAATGTATTGGGTGTTTTGAATATTAATGACACAGACCATAGCTTTTCATCACAACCTTTCAAGATTCGATATGCAAGACATGACATTCTTTTATCAGTCATGATATCTTTCAACTTATCTCTAGGTAAATTTGAGTCTCTATTAAATTAGTAAATGTATGAGAGAAGTTTTGTCTTCTTCATGTTATTTTTCCAATGATGATCACCTACAATCTTCAGGGTCCAATCACATTTGCTCTAATTCTGAAATTTGAGTCGCTGTATACACCTGTTTTGGAGATCGGGTTAGCACATAGTACATTACTTCTTTATTAATGCTATAGTGATTCTAATATTTTACTAGATATAGTTTTTTAATGCTCCATCTTCAGCTCCAATATCCAAGCCTCTCTGGAAGTAACCCCTGCTGCAGTTCATGAGTTCAGAATTCCACCCAAAGCTCTTCTTCGACTACATTCATATTATCCTATTCATTTTGATGTTTTCCATGTCTGTGCTTATTGATACCACTGTCAACACCAACTTACTAAAAAGTGGTGTTCATACCATGAAGATACCAAGGTTAGTTGGAAGTTTTATCACTACATGTTAATTTTAGTGCACAAAATCAATTTTTTATTAAATTACCAACCACAAGAAAAGACTATGAACCAATCAAATAGTCGTTGGATCCTTGCCAATTGCCATCACACACAAATCTTGAGCAACGAGAGGTTGATGCCTTTTTATCGATATTGTAGTTAAAAATTAATAAATTTGACTCAAAAAGTCAAAATTGACTCAAACTTAGAGACTTGGAAGCAAAGGAGAAAAGGTAAAGTGGATATTTATTAAGCCCTTTTTTTGTATTGTTTGAAAATACAATACAAAAGCTAATGAAATTAGGTTCCAAGGGCATCAACTACTGCTGTGGCATTTGGTCAAAAAGAAGGAAAGCATCATGCAAATGATATAATGTTGATATTTCATGATTGTTGTTAGAACTAAAAGGTACATAATAACATAAGCAAACATCCTTTATTATTATTTTTGTATAATAACATTGTCACAACTGGCAATTTTGTGTCATGTAATCTATACATTCAAGTTAATGTGAATCAAAAATTTCAATCAAATACATCATACAAGTACTACATATAGTCATCAAACAATTGGAAACCCTAAAAGTTTTTGGTTAAGTCCATTTTGGACTAAGACTTCCTTATTGGATCCAAATGGACCAATAAGCTTCCAATTTGACTATCATGGGCTTAGAACCCTTAAATGGGCTCTAATTGGACCCACATCTATTTATTTCAACATTTTGGGCTATGTTGGGCCTAGAATGAAATAAATTCAAAATTTTTAACCATGATTAACCTAAACTAGCCCAACAAAGTGTAAAAATCATATTACATTTTTTTTGGGTTAAAACCCATCCAACCTAACTTATATATGGGCTTAGGGAATTAAAGCCCAATTTTTCCTCCTTCCATTCCAAATTCTCGACCCAATGCACAAGCCCAAGAGGAAAGGAAGCATGTTGACTTGTGAGTGACACCTCACTATTATCCAATGGACTTCTATGCACATATCACATACCTCCATGCATATATCACTTCAAAGATCACCTCTTCTCTCCCTCTCTCTCACTCTCGGCCGTATGCAAACACACACACACCACAAAAATCTCTTCCAAACTCTCTAAGACTTGAAGAACAATCCTCCCTCTTTCTTCAAAATTTTCGTGAATCAAGAAGCCTCACAAGGAGGATCCATCACCAAAAATCCTCATCTAAGGTAAGTTGATGACTAATCCATGATCTAGCTACTTCATTCCATCAAAAACCTCCTCTAAATCTATTCCAACTTGTGATCTTACACCTTAGAAGTCATCAAACTCGAGATCTACCAAGGAAAGGTGCTAAGGCCGAAAAATCACTCCATTTCTTCCATATTCTCTTCAAAAACCGAAACTACATCCTAAGGTGAGTTTCATATCCCCTTATTTTCGGTTTTTATGAGTTTTTGTGGGGGAGAATACAAGAAAAAGTGTAGATCCATCATTATGTGTATGTTGTGGTTGAATTCTATGCTTACATGTATGTTTTGTATGATTTTATGGATAGATCTAGGGTGATATGCTAAAAACCGAGACATATATTTTATCATAGCATAAAATAGACTATCACATGCAAAGTATACTAAGAAAATGGCTAAATAGCTTAACAACACTTAACTTGGACTAAAAACTCATTTTTTTGACATAAAATGTTGAAAATACAAAGTTAGAGGGCCTAAAGTGCAATATCTCGAAATCTGATGGGTGAGATGAGTCAAAACAGTTTACACAATGTAATTTCTGAAAATATACTATTTAGAGGGTTAAAAACATAAATTCCAAGCTTATTGGGCTAAGTATGACATTTTCGGCCCAATAAGGCCCAATATGCGAAATTTTCTAAATTGGAGGACCAAAACTGCATTTTTCTGTAAAACAATGGACTATAAGTGTTCCATGTACTTTTCCAAGGTTTAAAATGCTTTTCAAATTTAAAAAGGACCAAAGTTGCAAAAATTTTCCAATTTGGGCCAAAAATGTAAAAATTGCGAAAAAGAGGTGTTATAACCGAGAAAACTGTAATTTCAAGGACTTAAGCTGTTTTCTATGAAAAATATGCTGGAAAATATTTATTTCAATAATTTTTGGTGTTAAAATGTCAAGAAAATTGATTTAAGGACTAAACCGGAAAGTTTTTAAATAAAGGGGTGAAAAGGGTAAATTTTACAAATAAGGAGGGACTGAAAACAGAAAATTTTCAAGGCTAGTTCAATACATGCAATTTGACCAAATGATGGTACAACACCTATCGACGAAATACAATACATTACAATACCAAAAATCGTTGTCAAACGAATTGGTTCGGTCTCGAACCAATAAAAATCCAAAACTACTAACACGACGATACTATGACATTACGACATCACGATTCATAACCATAACGATTACTATTACATGCGAGTGTGCACAGACGTCTACGCACCATCTTTGGGCCCCAAAAGTGTAAAATCTTGTCTGTTGAGCCTAGCTAGCCCAACGACCTGATCTTAAGGCCCGAAGATCTCTCTCTCTTACGAAGTGTTGGGTTTTACCGACCCGACATAACGTAAAAGGACTTTCAATGGCAAACATGCTGCTGGTCCCCAAGGGTCCTTCAGTGCTGCTAGTAAAGTCTGTAACTCACGATTGCGAGTTGGGCTTCGGGCCCTTCGCAATTGCATTTGGTCTCGAACGACGCGGGGAAATACCGAAGGTTTCGCACCTTCTCCCTTCCCTCCGGTCGTGGGACTTTACAAGTCCGGGAGGATCGAGTCGCGTGAAGATTTACGAGTGACGCCTAAAAGGATCACTTGTAAGGTTGTTGACTTGACGTTTTCATTAACGCATGTCCCAACACTTCACCACCCTCTGTATTCTCGATGCCTCCGGAATACAACGATACAACGATAGGAAAACGTCGGGTTTTCCTAGGATTTCAATAACGATTACAAATTACCGGTCGAATTTCACAACTCTTACGCTTACATTTATATAACTCAAACAAGCATACTCATGGATCAACACATATTTTTTTTTACTATTCTATTTTTAGAAAATATCGGATTTTCTAATGGTTTCAAACAATACATTGGATTTCAAACACTACTTATGAACTCACCAACATTTCATATGTTGACGTTTTTCAAAATACTTGTATTCTCAGGTAACAGATAAGGTGATGGATGATTTATACTCTATGATGTTTGCTGTAGTTTAAGTGAAGTCGAACAGTTATTTTGAGAATGTAACGATTGAACAATGTAACGAATGTAAACACTAACGGTTGTACTATTCCAAATGTTGGTGATGTTTTATGTTATGTTTCATGTATATGCATTGTAATGGTATTCAATGAGTCACGATAGCCCTCGGACGTTTCCGCCGTCTGGTTCGGGGGTGTGACAAACATATACAAATAATTCAGTAGAAGTGTTTCACTCTGGGTGCAGGAAATTACAAAAAAAAAAAAGGTGTTTCATATTGAATCATATTTCATCATTGTGGTTTCTTTGCAAGTAGGTAATAACTGACTCTAATACTCATGGAGTTTGAAATATTTATTTCTTATTTGTTT